ATTGTGAAAGAGTGGTTCTGGGAGCATGAGACATCATTTTCACTCATGGATTGGCCACCACAGAGTCCAGACCTTATCCCCATTGAGAATCTTTGGGATGTGTTGGACAAGGCTTTGCAACGTGGTCACAATCTGCCATCATCAATGCAAGATCTTGGTGAAAAATTAATGCAACACTGGATGGAAATGGAGCAGCACGGTGGCGCAACTGGTAGAGCTGCTGCCTCTAATCGAAAAGGTTGCAGGTTCAAGTGCCGGTCCGTGGGCCTTTATGTATATATATGAAGGTGTTTTAATTGATGAAGGTGTTTTAAATGCTTCAGACGAAATAAACACACCTACACCCCCCCCCCCCCCACACACACACACACACACACACACACCCAACATAGGAGGATCTGCGGTGGAAGTGGTCTACAGCTACAAGTACTTGGGTGTGCACCTGAATTACAACCTCATCTGGGGCAACAACACTTCCAGCCTGATCAAGTAAGCTCATCAAAGACTCTACTTCCTCAGACCGCTGAGGCGAGCTGGTCTGGGAAGCTCAGTCCTCACCTCCTTCTACAGGTGTGCAGTGGAGAGCATCCTGTGCTCCAGTATCAACGTGTGGCATGGAGGCTGCACAGCTGCAGAAAGAAAAGCTTTACAGAGAGTGGTGAAGGCTGCACAGAAGATGTTGGAGTCAGTCTCCCCACCATCACAGACATCTACACCTCTAGATGCAGTGTGGGATCCTCTGCACTCCTGTGCATGAAGGTTGCCTGCAAGCATTCTTGGCCACGCCCACTTCTCCGTTCTGCATGGGAACAGCTGATCAGCTGCAGGAGGAAGCTTATCCTGCAGTATGCTCTGCACAAAGGTGCAGGAGGTGCTAAATATTTAAAATAATCTATTTTAAATAAAAAATGTAATCCTGATTGTGCGGCTCATCCATCAATCAGCCAGTTGTGTGTCATGTCCAATACTATTTTAAAAACCGCAATAGAGCGAGTCCGCGAAAAACGAACCGCGATGTAGTGAGGGACTAATGTATATATATACATTTAAAGAAGCATCCATGTCGGTAAATTTCAACCAGTAGAGCCCACATTTGTTCATGTAACAAATATTGAGAGGTAATCCCAAAAAAGTTCAATCTGGTCCTCTGGACATTCAAAAAAACAAAAAACAAAACAAAGCAAAAAAAATATAGAAACGTTTCGTCTCTCATCCAAGAAACTTCCTCAGTCTGAGGTGCTGTTTTCTGCTCAGTCTCTTAAATAGCACCTTCTCAGAGTGGATCAACCAGTTTGCTGCTGACAACCAAAACCAGCTGATCACATGTTCAAGAAGGACCATCAGCCTAACAATGGATCATTAGCACACTGATGGCTGTTTACTATTCACAGAGGGCTGAGTGATACTAGCAATCACAGCATTGTAAGAGGGGGACAATTGAACCCGGAGGCCTCCACCACTGTTTAATGATGGACGGTTTCTTTTCACAAAGATGGCCTCCTTTACTCCTCTCTCAAACCATCGTTCCTCTCTGTCCAGGATGTGCACATCTTCATCCCTGAAAGAGTGACCGCTGGCCTGGAGATGAGTGTAGACCGCAGAATCCTGGCCTGATGATGTTGATCTTCTGTGCTGGGCCATCCTTTTGGCCAGTGGCTGTTTAGTTTCCCCGATGTAAGACTGATCACAGCCCTCCTGACACTGAACAACATACACAATATTACTCTGTTTGTGCCGGGGGACTGGATCTTTGGGATGAACCAGTCTTTGCCGTAATGTATTTTGGGGTTTAAAAGCCCCAGACTGAGCAGAAAACAGCACCTCAGACTGAGGAAGTCTCTTGGATGAGAGACGAAACGTTTCTATATTTTTTTGCTTTGTTTTGTTTTTTGTTTGTTTGAATGTCCAGAGGACCAGATTTAACTTTTTTGGATTTTTCTACCTGGATTATTGAGCATGCATCAGGATATTGAGAGGGAATATGACCAAAACGGCTTGATTATGAACACTTCTATTGATCTGTTACGTCCACTGATTTCTAACAGTTTTCTTACCAGAGGACAACCTTTCTCCTCCTTTGCTTGTTTACAGGCATGCTGTCACTCCATGCTGCGCACATGGAGTCACTTCCTCCTCATCAGTGGACTGCATGAAAGCTTCAGTGATCCAGCACCATGCCTCTTTTTTCTCGGGCATTTCCTCTTCCCCTTGAGCATTGTTGTGGCGTGGCTGACAGAGTTTAACTCTGTGTATCAAATTTTTTTAGCAACTCTGAGTTGATATTTGTGATCTTCTGTGAACAGTTCTATTTAAATGGTAAATGGACTGTACTTAAGCGCCTTTCTATCTAATCAAGACACTCAAAGCGCTTTACACTACAATCTGTGCCTCATTTACCCATTCATACAGCACTCTACTAGATCTCTACAAAGCTAATTGAACAAATCATTCTAAAGAGA